TATAATCTGTATCACATTGACAAGAAACACATACCAGGTGACAGAGTCAAAGATCGAGCAGCACAGGCATCCTGTTCCATCAATTCTATAGTTAATGCCCTGAGTATGGAAAACGAGCGTGAAGTTTGCTTGTGCAGCAGCCTCGTCTATTCCGGGTTTGGGAGTAAGGCAGAACACGCTCGTCACATTGCCGTATTTTCTAATGCCCGCCCAGAACTTGGCTACAATCTTACGGCACTGAAAACTTCCAACGACCGTGACAAATTCAGCCGCGGCGTGGTAGAAGAACTACGCGGCAAGGTGCCTACGGCCTCTGTCAGCGATCTTGTCTTCCATGCACCAGCTGTCGTTGCCTTTTTGTGGAAAGAAAGGTAGGTCTCTCCTCGCGCATGTCAGTGTAACGGATACTAAATCTCATAGCTATGGGGTCATCTGTGAAGATCTTGGCGCACCAAAGCTCGCAAGGTACGATTTGTCAAATCGTGTCATTAAGGTCGGCACTGAGGGGCTCTATACCTACGCCGTTTATTTCGGCGACGTTTGTCCTCTGCATCGAGGTCCTTCTTTTGCCTTGGAGAGCACAGAAGTCGCAGTGTCGCTGAATGAAACATATTACAACTTGGAAACACTTCCAATCAGTGCGCTAGGTATCGATTTCAATTCGTTGGATATGTTCTAGAACTTGTAACGAATGAGTATCAACTTCATTCTGCCGCTGGCTAGCTTAAGACACGAGCCTTCCTCCATTATAAGTGGATTGCGCCAATCTAAATCGACCTCTCCCTCTTGATGCCCTGCCTTTGGTTTATATTTTACCTTGCCGCTTTCTGAAGAGCAAGGGCACGGGATAACTACATCGAAAGCTCTCATTGGAACCGGTATTACGGCCCCGGCATTTGTAAATAAAAGTAGGTTGCGTACGGTTCGTTGACGGGGTTTTTCGCCCGCCCAAGCTATGATAGGTCCCTCCTTCTTTTTGTTAGCTGTATCGCCTAATAGACGGGGGCATTCTTACAATAAGCTTTGAGTACTCTCTGACAAGTTGGCTTATCATACAGTTCTTCTCGCCCTTGTGCTGAAAAAGTCCAACGACGACTTGCTCCCACTCCAAATTGGAATCGCCAACTTTCTCAGCCAGCTCCAAGAGGGGCGAGATATCACCTACATCCTCAAGCGACATAACATCCATTGTATCGTAGAGAAACTCTTTTTATTCGTAGAAGTGGGTGCTTCTCTTCTTATTACCTTTGACCAGAACTGTGGTGCGTAGAGGAAATCCATAAGCCTGCAATTTCGCTTCGTGCGGGGTCGGAGGGTGATGTGGGACAAGGTAGGGCACCATGGAGAAACTCTTAGCTAACAGGCAGTCGAGATTCGGTCATCGGTTACTGAAAGCAAACCAATTGCAAGTATTAGGCAGTCGCATTATATTGATACCGGTATATTTACTCTCATAGATCCGTAGGAGTCTTTGTTGCTGGTTTACAGAGGCATTTGTAGCCGGTCACCGGCTAAGGTGGTTCTGTTGCGCTAAAAAGAGCAAAATTGTAAGTCTAGTGAATTTTTCTTGTAGCACTAATAGTAACTAGCCTATGTTCTATGCGACAAGTTCAGTGTCTGCGACACGCAACATCGTAGTTTACGAAGTCAGCCACGGTAAAGGACCCTGCGTCATTTGTTGTATGGGACAGGAAGAGCAGGATATGGCTGATTAAGGCCGTAAGATCTGCATGTCGAGGGAATTGATTGTGAACGAAATCGTGCGTAACCCACAGCAACGGACAGTTGTTGAGCAAGGTGCCATCTCACCTGCAAGGTCCGCCTACACCTTCTATGAATAGCCGCTTTGGTATTTTGTGTTTTGCTGTGATGTCCAAAGACTTGTAGTGTTGAACAAAAGAGAAATACACCATAACCACGATCAAAGTGCAGCAGCCCTGGCAACACGACAGAAGCGGACGAAGTTATGTCGACGGCGCACGGTTTTGTCGACGTTACGTATACCCAAATCATTGTTTACTCAAACAGAACAGAAGGAAAGACGTTGTCAATTGGTAGGGGGCTCATTCCTTTACTTCTGGCGAGTTCCACTTCGTTTGATACTGCCATTCAAGGGGTGAGAGGGGGATACGACAGCTTATTTAACGAGTATATAGCATGTATTTGTTTTTTAGACCGGATTGGTTAGTTATTTGATCGTAGTGCGTCTTGCGCCGAACTCAGTCCCTGCAGCGTAGACTTACTCACCTTGCTCCCAATCTTCAAGCCGAAGGTGGAAGTAATGCACTCCCGAATTGGCGCTATAACATATCGCGAGTCTCAAACGGGTAAGTATTTACAAAGCAGTTGATCGGATCAGCAGTACGTGCATACTACTCGGAGACGATAACCAGTTCCGCTCTATGAACGGACACCGTTTATATGCTGTGCAGCAAGAAGCAACAAGGCGGCGCTTTTCAATACAACTACACCCTTCACGCCACACCGGCTCGTATGGCGTAGTATAGAAACGCAACGTATGTACTGTTGAACATCACAGCGGAACACAGATGAAAGAAGTGCGTTGATTCTGTAAGCTAGAGATGCCGCCGAGGCACGCTATTTATGGAAGGCGCAGGCTGGACCCTGCATGTGATGCTGTTTCATGTTCAACAACACACTCTCAAGACTGAACACAGATGGGGCATGTTGGGAAGTCATAACACTTGCTCTCGAATTTTTTTCATTACCCCTTTTCTGTTGGAAGCGCAAGGCTTCTACTCGGTTGATAATTATCACGGTTATTGGGTTCTTCGTAACTGTCGTTGGTGCTTGTGTTGAATTCATCTATCTAGAGGTAGCGCTCACCCAAACTGGTGATGTTTGAGATCTGTTTGAGATCAACCACGTGTGGCCAATTAGAGGCCAGCATTCGCTGCCTTCCACCGCCAAAGCGGCGCTGGCAGCAACATTTTCACTTCCCTGCAAATTTTTTTTCTTGAGCAGCCTCATATTAAATACCCTTTTCTTCTCCAACAACAATGACTTCTTATCACACCCTACGCCGGACGTCTATTTTCGCGATTTGGGCATTTGCTCTGCTTAACCCTATTACGCTTATTCGACTGTACAACACAAAGGTACATCCAAATGACAAATTGAAGAAGGCTTTCTTCGCCCTTCGCCCACTCTTACCAAGTTCTCATGGAGTTGACCTATGTCTCGAATTTTGTACTAGTTCATTGACTTTTCTATACAAAATATTCCGCAATATGGAGATTATGGCTTCAGTCAATCCATAGCCCTGGAAAAGCAGCAAGTTCATTTGTTGGTTCCAGCAAATCAGGCCAATAGTCGAATATGTCGAACCTTGATGAGTGCCATCGTTAACGACTATCTGTCGGATAACGCCTCTGTAGACTGAAGTCGCAGGGCTTGGTGTAATAGCTGGTTGTCATAGCGTCGGCTATCATGACTAAACTTAGCCGAAAGTTAAATTCGGACGAAAGGAAGTTTTTTGGTATTAAGCAGAGGGCTGCAGACAAAGTCTGTAGCACCACGACGAAAAAATAACATCAATGATTTTGTCAAACAAGCTTAGCTAACAATGAGTCTCATAACGTGAAACTAGCTTACAGAATCAACGCACTCCTTTCATCTGTGTTCCGCTGTGACGTTCAACAGAAACTACATGCGCCACTGCTCTAACGGGACACCAAAAAAAAAAAAAAAAAACCCTTGTACATTCATAAGCAGAACACACGCTTGCCGTCTGCAGCCGCAATGCCCGAATCATTATTCACGAGGACCAAATCTCAGCCTGAAGTAGAATGTAGGTCCGTATACTTGAAAGAATATTTGACCACAGGTCACTATTAATAACATATGCACAGACACACAGAGAGAGATGTAAATACAACACCTATTTGTTCAATCCTATTCCCCATCATTATGTACAGTACTAGACTTTCCCCGAGAGCCGTGGCAACAATGAAGCCAAATACGGTTCCTTGCTGATGCCTATTTGTGGTCATGTTCGCTAATCTAAGAGGACGCATTAGCGAAGAGTGGTATCCAAGATATTCTAACTTCGGCCATAAATATCTCCGAGCACGGCCATGTTATGCTTGTCAATGTCTAGAACTTGGTACTAGGATGAAGTTTCTCCTAGCTTCTCACTTCATCGCCTGCATTTCAGTCATCACGGCAGCGGCTTGCGGCCAGAAGGTGTTATGGGTAGCGAACTGCGGTGACACAGTAGGAGCATTACCGGCAGGGATGGGAGACACCTTCAAGGCCTTGAACTCTGCTGTTGTTAGTGACATAAACTCCATATATGCCGGTTCGACATATACCGTCGCATACGCGCATACCACGACGTCCGCATCATGGTCGTACACTACACGAGGGGGCAACAGGTATCTTGTCAGTCCCACTAACTCGGCAGTCTGTACACAGCATGCGAACGTGGGTGGTGTGTTCGGTGCAACGACTGCGGTTGCAACAACCCAATCCTCCGCCCAGAGGCAGATAACGCCTGTGCCGTTATCACCAACTTGGGCAACACCCGTTGCGGCGGTGCAAACCAGGACATTAACAGGGACCGCTCCAGATTCTGCACAGAATGTCGTGTACTGGGGCCAGCACGGTGGCGCAGTCCCTGAGAATGAGCTTGCCGCTTTTTGCACCAGAGAGGCTGGCATCGACATAATAGTCCTTGCGTTTCTGTTCAAGTATGGCAACGGAAACGTGATTCCAAGTGGAAGTTTTGGCTACTCTTGCACAATTGGAGAGGGTCAGCAGTGCGACTCTCTGGCCAAAGCTATTGAAACATGCAAGTCTAACGGAATCAAGGTGATTGTTTCTCTTGGTGGTAATGCTGGTGACTATTCTCTGTCTTCCAAAGAGGAAGCAGAGAAAATCGGCCAGAACCTCTGGGATGCCTACGGCAACTCCAACAAAACCGGCTCGGTGCCACGACCATTCGGCAAGACATTCGTCGATGGATGGGACTTCAACATCGAACACAACAGCGGCAGCAAGTATTATGAGTTTCTGATTGCCTCGCTCCGCTCCAACTTTGCCTCCGACCCGGGAAACAAGTACCTCATAACTGGGGCGCCTCAATGCCCTATCCCGGAGCCTAACATGGGCGATATAATCTCCAGGGCCAAGTTCGACTACTTGTGGGTCCAATTCTACAACAACCATGAGTGCTCAGTCAACGGTGGGATTAACTACGACGACTGGACAAGGATGGTGGCAAATACGCCCTCCGCCAATGCCAAAATTTTCATCGGTGTTCCCGCCCATCCTCATGCTGCCAATGGCCAGGACAGCGGGGCCATTTACTATCTCCAACCTAGTAAGCTTGCTCGTCTTGTTGGCCAGTATAGAAGTGACCCCGCCTTCGGCGGCATCATGATCTGGGCTGCGGGTTTGTCAGATGCCAATGCCAACAATGGGTGCAGCTATGCTCAGGAAGCGAAGAGAATCTTAACGCATGGCAAAGTATGCTAGGCAATTCGTTGCTGTATACAATCCAGTCAATTACAGCTATGAGTCTATGACAATCGCCAGTGGTTCCTTTTGACCATGATGACGGACGGGCGGCGGTACAAACACTAAGCAACGCCATTGCTGACGAGACAAACATCATTGCAATGGTATGCAAGAGTGAAGAAAACCGGTTCGGGACGATGGATGGGAACGGTATGGTTAGTCGTTAGTTACACATACGTATTAGTAAAATAGATCATGTCGTTTCATGCAATCCCTTTCATCTGAGGAGCACTCCTCCATCATACCTATACTTGACTGGTGTTGTCAGATGCCGGTTCCGGTTTATTGTTGCGGACTCCACATGTCCGCCCGTAACACCAATTCAACCTCAACCCCTTCATCCAACAAACTATGGTTTAAACATGTGTGATATGTGCCACAGCACATTGAACGCTGTGCAGAGTCTCTGTACACACACACCACGCTGGCGAGTCTCCACTGAATGACAGTGATCGGCGCAACCAGAACGGAGTAACACTTTCACATCGTAGAAGAAGGCTAGGCCATAACCAGACTGTGAAAGGCCTCTAGCGAGTTGATTCAACTAACTAGTACATACCTAAGCGGTTTACTATGAAGAGGAAGAAAAGGAAGTCTACATAGTTCGTGACATAATAACAGCGCCTTACATCTTCCCAATACGCCTCCACAGAAGGTCCTAGAATTAGCCCGCCGGGGAGTTGGTGATAGGCGGCAAAGAGGCCGTTCAAGCGGCTTGACCCGTTGCCTGTTATGCAACACTCCATCTAAGAGCATCGACTCTCTGCAGTTGTCTGGTCTTCCTGTAACGAACAGAATATCAGTGACCGACGAGGTCTATTTCATCGATTGGGTTATAGGCCGTTGCGAGCCATCATGAGTAGTTCCCTCAGCAGCCCCGGTCTCTTTGGATCGTGCATAGATTGTGCAGACTTTATATGAGATATTCGTGAACAAAGCCCACATATCTGTAATAATTATAAACGCAACCTTGCTCTTGGACAAGCACTATGTTGAACGTCTGCCACGGGCTACCACTACAGTAGTAAGAAATAGTTTCGTGTCCTAAGGTGGTCATCAGAATGACCTCGCATTTTGCTAACCAAAAGTCGTGTCACAGCACCATCACGACTTGTCTAAGACACTCACATGAGCACAGACCATTAGCGCACCATAAAGCTGTAGTCTAGATAGCTTCCTCTTCCCTCCTCCTTAAGGCACAACTACGTTACTACTAGCACCTTAGATTCGCCCCGTGATAGTTTGTGCCTTCCTTTTTGGTTGCGCCGCCGTCTATTTCGGCCATCGTCAACGCGGCCCAGCCACCACGCCTGACAGGGGCGACCTTAGAACCATGAAGTCTCGCGACTGACGCGTCGCGATTGAGACCACCCACGAAGACACCCACAGCGCGATTGACACGTCGCGATTGAAGATACCCACGAAGATACCTACAATGGCCCCGGAAATCGACACTCCCGCCTGGAAGGCCAGTATTTTAGAAGGCATTACGGCATTCCCCCATGTCTATACCATTGTTAC